GTTTATATTAGAAGTGAACTGTAATTAAATTAATTGTATTAAATGTTTCAGTGTCTTTAAACAAAGACACCGACACAGAATACAATTCCTAGCAATTCAAAAATCAGTTTTTAATAAACATGTTCCTAGAACAAAAAAAATTACACATATTAGGGTGACATGCATTTTAAATCCTGATATTGCCTTCCTCAATATCTATCAAAGAATCAGTGTTTATAAAACAAAAATAAAGCTCCTTGTTCTCCTAAATTTGCTGTTATGATGTGATAATCTTTTTCCTCTATTAAGAATGTACGTTTATTCCAAAAAAAGAGTTAAAGGCAGTCCTTTCCTTGAGCTCAAAATACTGGATCATATCAATTATACCACTTAAGATGTGAGTCACTTCTCTCGCATATTTAGAAATAAACTCAGGCTGATTCATTTAGTGTGCCACTGGTTGTCAGGTGGGATTAAATGCATTTGATTTTTAACTTCTGTTTTTAACGATGTCCTCACCACTGTCTCTTTGAAAATTTTTTCTACACGAAAATAATGTACATCAGGTAAAATACAGTAGGTAAACATTTAAATTACGTCATTGTTTTTAAAGCAATAGGGCACCCCACTCCCTTTTTTTTAACTATCTGTTTTGTTGCTAAATCCTTGGGTTTAAAATAAAGCCTTAGAAAAAGATATTTCCATCCTCTGATTAGTCAGAACAAATAGATTTTCCCTCAAAACTGGTTAGAGATAAATATATTTGTACAGTTAATGCTGTTAAAAAAACAACAGGTTAACTTTTTCAAAATAATAAACATTTGGGGGAAGCAAACAAATGCTCCATTCCACAAATACTGACGGAGCAGCTGCCATGTGCAAGGCGCTGTGCCACGTGCTGAGGTGAAGCAGACAGCAAGCACTCAGCCACCATATGCTTAAGACTCTCAGTGGGCAGGTAAGGCAGGCACACAAATACTCACAAAATAAGGTGGGAAGAGACTGAATACCTTCAGCGAGGAAAATCTAAAATACTACAGGAGTTCAAAGAAGGGAAAGCTGTTTCCAGCAAGTGGAGTGGGAAGGGAAAATCAGAGAAGGCTTCATGAAGACAGTGGATCTGAACCAGGCCTTGAAGGAAAGGGAAGATGTGGCCCAGCGCAGACTGGGAGGCGAGTCTGCATGGGTAGTAAGGGGTAGGGCTAAGGCAGCGTTGTAAGGGTAGGGAGCCGGAGCAGTGCTATGTCACAGGAAATTTAAGCATTAGGGTAGGTGAAAGAACAAAACTAGAAATAAGGGAGAAGAAGAACAAGAAATAAGGAGAAGTAGGAAGGCACCAGATAACAACAGACTTTGAAAGTGTAGTCAAGTGGCTCATACCTTATCTGGTAGGCAAATGGTAATCGATGAAAGATTCTCAGCAGGGAAGAGGAGGACCAGACACATGCCCGGAAGATTAATTTAACACCAGTGGGATAAATGCATAGGAAGACAAACTAAAGACGGGAAAACCAATCAGGAGTCTAGTGCACAGTAACGAGAAGAGAAACTAGGCAGTAACAGGGGAAATGGAACGAACAGTATGGATGCAAAAAAAAAAAAAAGTAAATTGTAAACAGCATTTATGAAAAATATGGAACAAAGCCTTACCTGATTCTTCTGTATCTTGTTCATCTATTAAACCTACTGAGACGCCTAAATCCACACATTTCTTGCTATGTGCCTTGGACTTCATGTGTTTTGTCAGATTTCCTTAAGGGAAAAGAATGTTTACTAAGCTTACATAGTATTGTTTTGCTATTGCATTTGTCAACACTTGTAAATTCCATTCCTATTTCAAGCAAAAAAAAAACACAGACTGTAGTTATACAATTCTAATGACTAAAATTCTGACAAAATATTATCTCTGTTATAATAACTTCGTTATTTATTAATAATAATGTATCTTTTAAACCTGCCCCCTTTACTTTGACAATGTCTACTTCTTATGATTTTTATTCTCTATTCCTTATTTATTTCTTAGGACATTTTATGCATACTTAAGTCTCTTACAGGCTGCACTATAAATCTGTAGTTCTGAAGTACGAATTGTCCATTCATTATGTCTGCTGGCTCTCTCTCATAGTAGTACGTTTCCTTGCATGCTTTTTCATTTTTATTGTAAGCTTATCTCTAGTAAGATTGCTTTCCGTGGGAGTTTCAAGTACCCTGGGTTGCAAAAACATCTACATGGGGGCAGTTTTCAATTATTTCTGCCTGGGAGCTTAAGGATTTCAGACCACTGACTCTGGACAAGCATTTTTTTGCATGGCATGTATAGGGCTTTGCTTTTTAGCAGATTAACTTTTTCCCCCATGGCCCAAGGTCACTGGACAGGAGAGCCAGGCTAACTGCAGGCTGACTCCATTCCAGAACAAACATTAAAAATCCAGGCTCTGATTCCCATATGGACTTTTTTTTTTTT